AGATCATAGCTATGCAGGCAGGAGTGCAGATCTCTCCCGAGCCTCTCTCTGCTCGAGGACGGGTCTAGCAACTCCCCTTCCCTTCCTGTGTGTCCCGGATATCGTGGCATGCAAAACGCGGGCGGGTGAAGACTATTCGAACCTCAAGCCACTTTTCTTGAAGTAAGGATAGATGGCTGATCTAAGGGACAGCATGTTGGACCGTGCTCAGTCTCGGTATCTGTCTCTTCCTGCACAATGACACAACAAACCCATCTCCGCTCCCCCCTTCTCCCCGCGCCCAGACATCGATCGGAACGTCGACTCATCACACAAGCATGAATCACAATCCCCCGTATATCGCGGGTTCCTGATATCTCCTCCGACCTCTACACGAGATTACCGCCGGATGAGAGAAATCTGCCTGTTGTATGGATGGATGCGGCGGCGGGCGATTGGACACACTGGCCTCGGAATGAGGTCAATTCCAGTTCTGAGATTGGCCGAGCCACAGCTTCGAACGGCTAGTCTAGTCCCAGCTGGGCTTAGTGCTGATGCTTTGGGAAAGGTGCAGCCTTGCCGCCCTGCAATTCGAATCCTGCAACAACAACAACAGTTGCTAACTTACCTCTGCAGCGCAGCGTCCTGCTGTCCGTCCCTGTCTGAAGCCTAAAAAAAGGTATACTCCCCAAGTATCTGAGTCGCTAGACTGCCCTTTCTGTGATTCAACTACCGCGTTAGCCCAGAGGATGCATTGATGCAGCACCTCAGATCTGATGGAGGAGACGGTATCCAACCCCGCGGCTCTGAGGCGGTTACAATGACAATGCTGCCAGGGGCGGCGATGTCACCCATCCGCCTCAGACAATAGCTTCCCGCAAGTGAGTCGGGACGTCAACCACAAAACTACGAATACATCAGTCATCTGTAGGATCAGAAACCGACTATCATAATCACAATCTGGATCATGAAACAACAGATCCATCAAACCAGATCCCCAACACCTAACACTTCCGAATCACTACTACGGTGTACAGCACAATCACGCAATACTGTACCCAAGCTCCTCCACCAGCGAATCCCAATTCTGATATACACATACGAAGGTGATTCACCAAGTGCCCACGATCCGACCACCTCAACCGTATGACCACCCCCAGCACGATTCCTCCAGCTTCCATGATACAGTAGAAGATCTCGAGCCCGGATCCTTACCCTTCCCGGTATAAACAATCTCCATCTCTCCACCGCGGTGGCGAGTTACGTAGTCACCACAGCCCTCGTACTCAGTACAGCGCTGGACACATACGGCAGACAATCCCACATCCCACGATACCTCCCTCCATCCGGGCTGAGTATAATTAGGTAGATAGGCATGGCAGCCTGTGCCCTGTGGCATACATACATGCATCGCGCATGCATGCATCTACATGTGATTGGTTACAAAGAAGCGGTAAGGGGAGGGGGGGGAGGGGGGGACAGCTGGCTACCTAGGTAGATTACAGTAGTGAGCAGGGCGTTGATGAAATGGACTACCTAATTGATTTCTGGTCCATTGGAATCCGCTTCGCATCTTTCTTTTTATCTGGCTCTCCTGCTGAGAATAGGAGACGGGAGGAGGAGGCATCGGCAAATTGAACAAACCGACTTACCCCAGCACGACCACGTGCAACGCATTCAGCCATGGATAAGGGAGCAAGTACGGTACCTTAGTGATCCAGAATACCCATCAAGATGATACGGACACCTTTCCAGTTCCCCTTGGAATGAACTAGTAGGTAGTAGGTTAGGTACGGTATAACCCAGCACCTCACCTGAATTGACCTCCAATCTCAAACGCAAGCACGGAGTGCTCCGTCGATCTGGCTGGCGTCTTTCCATGCCTTTTCCTGAGCCATTCTTCAACCATCCAGGTCCATGCGATTTGCAATCTGATCCCCAATTGAAATCGCCTCGTTCATGCTATCAGCGATCGTCTGGCTACATCCAAGTGCTGTATGTAGTAAAGTTTCGAGTCTCCCCCTTTGATTGTCAAGATTTTGAGATCTTGCATGGGACAGACCGCAGCATGGGCAAAGGTACAGTACCGATACTGCGTACCGGTAATACCGTTCTTCCAGGCACTCGGTGGAGCGCGGCTTACTACACGATCGGCCATCCGCCACAACTCGAGCAGAGCCCCATTGGCCAATGCGGACGACGACTTTTCTCATATGGGCCCGGGGGGAAACCTGCACCCCGCAATCATGGATCTATCGTATCGTATCAAACGGCGGGCTTGGTACTCGTCAATTTGGCCTTCTACTGTACTAGTACTCTAAAGATACTCTAGTTAAAGCTTGCAGATACGTTCAGGTCATGTGCTACCCACTAGTATGGTCTATAGCCCCTTGCTGAAGATTGAGGTAATCATGACCACGGTATCTCGATCTGTGAGTATCTAGTCACATGACACGGCGAGAAGTTGGCACATCTGTCAGGGCGGAAGGCAATATGGATACCCTCAGAAAGAATTGGGAAAGATATCGCCACCCGGAGACAAGTCGCCCGCAATCTCGGGTCTTTCTGCCCGCTCCGTTGCGCAACCGCGGATCCATCTCGTCTTTTTTTGGGACTTTTAGGAGAAGGGAAAAGGCCAGGTGGCCAACGTATGAGTGAATTTGTGTATTGACTCATCGTTAAGAAGGGAACCTGAAACTCCAAGCAAATACTCAAAACATGATGGTATCAAACAGATATTCGTAACAAATTCTCTCTCTTGCGTGACTATCAGCCATCTGTCCTCAGGTGATTATCCAATTTAGGTGCCAGGATATGGTTCTATCTTTGGGGTGGTCGGTTTCGGTTCGGACCTGGTCCAAATCGAAAGCCGGGACTTGCTCCGTTTAGGTTTCGAGGTTGACGACTCCTCGGGGGTCTCGTTCTCTTGACTCTTCTGACGATCGACTGCAGCGGGGTTGGCGGCTGCGGCTGCGGCTGCTGTATGCCGTGCATGTTGTGCCTCCTCGATCCCCTGTCGGATTTCTGTGGCAGATGCTCCCTGCGGCGCTGTAGTAGTCAAGGTCTCCGTGGCCCGGATCCTGTCTTGATCTGTGGAGGTTTCGTCATTCAACTTCCCAATCTCTTCTTCGGTGACTAGACGCTCGTTCTCCAGCCGAACCTCACGGCCGCGCTTGTGGCAATACCAAAGAACAAACAGCAGAACTGTGGCGTCAGTGAGTTGGTGTGCCCGGTATCTAGGATGAAGATAGCAACCTACTAGTCAAAGCCAACGACCATAACACATTAAGCCCCAGCACGGCCGGGAATCGAGCTCGGAGGAATGCCACGATCGAGCGTAGCATTCCAACCAGCGCGGCCGGTTTCCCCACCAGCTCCTTCAAGGTAGGCACCTTGATGCCCATCTTGTTGGCTGCGGCGGCCGCTTTGCCCACGTTCTCGACGTTGAGGCCGCTCTGACTGGCTTTGGCGGTGGCCGCCGCGAGCACCTCCGGCGCCAGAGTCTCCGTCCACTTCTCGGGCAATTTCTGGATCAGCTTCTGGATGAACCCGGGCAGCTGGGAGTACGTGCTCTGCAGCTGCTTGTTCCCGTTGGTGAGCAGCATCTCGAGGTCATGGTAGGCGGTGGGCACGCCGTTGACGAGGTCCTTGAAGATCAGGGTGAACTTGCGCAACAACTCCCGCGTCTCATTGCTCATCGAAAACACCCGATTATTCTCTGCTGCCAGGTTCAGCCTCTCCAGAATCTCCGTCATATCCTCCTTCTCCTGGTCGATTTCATTTTTGTCCGTCTCGGCGGCCTGCTGGGCCTCGCTGGGCTTGTTATCTGCTTTGGTAGGCGCCTCATTCGTAGTTCCGGTTTCCTAAAAGATCAATTGTTAATTACACAGATACAGATACAAGACACGCCGGCATAACGAGTACACTATACCTTCTTCATGACCGTGCTCCGTCGCCGCAGCCAACCCCACGGGCCCTTCCTTTGCGGCGGCGAGGAACTCTCCACCTTGGCTGCTGCCTCCGGCGCATTCACACCAGCCGTGCTCCCATTCCGGTCTGTAGAAGCAGCAGCAGCAGTAGCCTCCCGTGCCTTGCGTTCTTCCTCCCCCAGCTCTCTCCCGTATTCCTCCACCGGTGACACCGGCGACTGCGCCGAGGGCGGCTCTTGGACCTCTGTCCCCACCGGCGAGACGGGCGATATCGGGCGATTCAGTTCGGTAGCTTGTGGGGCGGATTCCTGGCTGGTGCTCGCAGGGTCTGTCATGATCCCGCGTAGAAAGGCTTCGTCCTCGGCCGTCAGTACTGGGTCATGGCTTGGTGGTGGTGGTGGTTGTTGTTGTCGCATGGACGCACGCCTCCAGGTCTTGAATTGCTGCATGATTTGGACTTATCGCATATTCTGACTTTCACTATGTTATCAAATGAAGTTATGATTTTCTCTGTCAAAGAAGAATAATATCAGGGAATGCGAGATAAATAAATAGGCAGGATGCGGAAAAAGGGAGCCGTTTGCCAGGGACGCAGGCGGATGCGAAGGGAGGGATTATGCGTGGGTGGGACGAGGCAAGTATGGAACGGTCTGTCTACTCCACTTGCGCGCGTGGATGATAATCAAGATAAGGATAGACGGTTATAGTACGGGTTGCTTGCTTGATATTGTGCTCGAGTATCGAAGAACTTTATGATGTTCAAAGATTCGCAAGAGAATTCAACAGAATTCAACGAAGAGAAAAAAAATGGATCTTGGACGCGCCAGCACTGTAATCTGGCGGAGGGGGAAAGGAGAGGCGCTCGCTCGCTCATGGGCGATGATATCACCCCTTCAAGGACCGCGTCACATGCAAGGGTCCCCGCATGTGCCACGCGCCACCGCCACAGATTCTGTGCGTGCACCGCCACAATCTGTTATCCGGGGCACGATATGATGGTGGTGATCGTCAATTGGTCTGTTCTCAACTCTATACTGCACGGCCTTTTTCGTATCCCGACACACAAATCTATTAGCCCTCAGCAATCCATAGAAGCAATCTGGCTAACACATTCGGGGAGCAATACACGAAAAAGAAACCTAAAGAGAACCGAAGCGCAGCAAGCATGCAGCCCAACCTCACAGCCCGAAGAAATACGCATCCCTCAACCGCGTCGCATAAAGATTCAGCTGGTTCTCCTTCGACACCCAAGCCATCTTCCCGGGCTCCCAGAACATCCTTGCCGGTGACCGCAAACCCTCTGCTCTGCTCGCGGCGCGCGCAGTCCGCCCGCATCCACTCCGACAAGTACCACTCCTTGTCCTTGTGGCAGCTGACCAGGGCCCGTCGATGCCGTTGCTCTCTTGTCGTTGTCGATGCTCCTAGTACTGCTGAGGAAAAGAGCTTCATGCTCCACTTGGAACCTGGCTTCCCGCTGGATGTTGAAGCGCAGCTTGGTCTCCGCTTCGACGTAATCGAGGACCAGTGTGTTTACGTTGCGCGATTGCCATTCGTGCGGCCACCGCCGGAGCTTCTGTGCTGCTTTCCGGTTACCGGTCCCCTCGAGCAGTCTCTCAAGAAGTTCCAAAGAAGAGGTAGGCATGTTGAGATGGGTTGACGGGTGGTTGGTGCCAGACGGAGGTTTCAGGGAGGGTGGGCCGTCTGGATGAGGGCGAGTACGACGGATAAGAAAAGTAGCAATACCATCGGGTCTGATCGTTATATGTCCCCTACATGTCCAGGATGCGGCATGTGCTAGCCTTACCCAAGTTCGTCATTGTTACCTATCAAGGCGGAACTATTCCTATCATCTATTCGATTGATACAAACCCTCTCATCATTCAGAAGTAATCGCTAAGCTACGTGCCCTTCTTGCCAGCGGTACCAACACCAAACCCACACAGTGATCTATCATTCCTGACCCTCTATAATTCCATTTCCTGTCACGAAATGAAATTGCCGTACCGGTGCATCTTAGCAAGACGGTAACCGACGTAATTGGTCTCACTCCAGCGTTTTCTTGTGACTATGCGACTAACTCAGTTGGCATAAAGTATCCGGCAATATAACTATCAGAGAAGAGGTCTCTGGGTCCCAGACTAGTTTCTTGCTGGCGGAGAATAAGAGGCGGCACGGTACCCTCAGCGAGTGAGTTTGCACCCCTGAGGTCGACAACTGCTCTGCCTTTTGCAGTTTGGTGACCGGTTTGTGGATCTGTCACGGTTCTCCATACAACAAACACTGGGTAGGCTGTTGGGGTGTGTCTTGTGGCATAGAAAAATCTTGCCTTGCGCATGCAGGTTGTCACACGTCTTGTCTATCACCTCTTGGTCCTTCCTGGAAACCCTATAGACACGCGGCTTGGGTTGATTCTCAGGTACGTTGACGAACCCGACGTTCGAACCGTCTGGGTTTACCCATATAAAAGTTTATAGTGACCTTCCAATATTAGAAGAAGCGGGCCGGGGGGGGGGGGGGCTTCTCTCTGATCTGGTCACGCTCCATCGTCCAGATTGTAGCGGAACCTTAGTCGTCCCCCAGACAAGCCAGACGATGGAACCTCCTAGACCGAAACCATGGTCATCATGCTTGACTTCTATGGTATCGAGCAATTGCTAGATGGTGGTTGAATTCTCGCGAGTAAAAATGCGTAGAGCCTTAAAACTCGCCGGGAATTCCGAGATCTGCTTATAGAGCCTCGTATGCGCTTGCAATAGACAAACGCGTTATCTTTCCACATTTGCTCACGCTTATCCGGCCTTCTTGAATCCATTTACTCCGTCAGCAAGCGGATGCAGGACCTTGATGGCCTGGTGTTCATCCCACCGCAACTAGGAAGGCCGAGGCACCGCGCGCAACCTTTTGAGATGTCGTTGGCTAGTATCAAACCCCCCTAGTCGCTGGTGATTCTCATCCCGCAATACATCCATGATAACCCGACTGATAGACCCCTTTCCTCGACTGTTTGACAACATCATACAAGGTACAGCAGACTATACCAGCGTAGTCTGCTGCCCAGTAGTCCTTCATAAATACCTCGTTTACCGGATTCGTAACGGGCTATGTCCTGAGATCCGACATAAGGATGGCGTCCATGAGTTACCCCCCCCCCCCCCCCCGACGTCGCCACTGCCAGGGCCTCTCTGCACAATCTCTGGCCGAAGCTAGCGCAGTTTGATGCAGTGGTACTGTATAGTAGCCCCGTCTATTCTCGATGAAGATATCGTCCACAAAGGATGTGGCACAATGGACAAAGTGGGATTAGCCTAGATGCTCCCGGCGTCGATTGTGGAAACTTATTGTGCCCACAGTGTGCATCCAAAGTGCCTATCTCATTGAGCATTTACTCGCCCGTTGCGTCAGGAAAGGGCTGTTCGGATTCTGCGGTGGAAATGCCGGGTAGGGCGAAAGCTTCGACTCCGGACTTGGAGTTTGTCTGATTCCGGGCACCATCGCCGATTCTGTTCTTTGCTGGCATCTTGGTCAATGCCCGAGGAAATGCGTCAGAATTGGTTGGGGATTCTTCTGTCGGATTCGGAATTCGTAGATGGACTCAAAATCTGGTCCCGGTTCGGTATCAATCTCACGACACAGAGTCGATGGATCGAGAAAAGTGGGTTCTTGTTGCTTGATTCGGAGCCATGGCGGTACAACTCGGTGTGTTTTGTGAAGCCATTCGGCAGGCTAGGTTGTTTTGAGGTTAGGGAGCCTAGCAAGCAGAGATGTCTCCAGCTGCTGGGTGAACTCGTTCCGATATGAAGCCTCTCATAGCTTGTTGAGAGACACTCAAGGCTGTCACAATAAGCAAAGTAGGTATAATAGGAGATCTTTGAACCTGACTAGTATAAAGTGGGGTGGATGGTGTCAATCGAAGAGGAAAGATATGTTGATTGGGTTTGGGTAAGGTACATGCAGTACGAGAGGAAGAGTTGTTGACTGGAAGAGTTGTTGGAGAAAAGGCGAGAGGAGAGAAGGATAGAAGAACTGGATAAGTAGATGTCTGATCTTCAATTGGATATGAGGATATTCAATGAGCTAGAGCTTTCCCAGAGTGTGAATGTGAACGATGAGGTGTGCCCTGCTGCCTGTCAAGTTCTACCAGGTAGGCCGCGCTAGCAGTGAATCACCCAATAGAACGACCAATTGAATGATCAGAGCCTATTGACTGAATGATCATTCAATTGGCTTGATTTGACCTCTACTCTCGAGAATCTGAGCTGGAGAAGGGAATTAACTTCCAGACTGTTCTAGGGCAATATTGTCACTCTCCCGCCTTGACCCGCCAGCTCGTGCCGGGTACGGCTTGTGCCGCTTCCCACCCGGCGCTAGTTAAAGCGCTGCCTGTTATATAACTAGAAGCTGTCATATGCCCCTGAATCATCATCTTTTCTTCTTAAGTTCCTGACAACAAGTCCACTAACAACCACCGTAATTTCACCTACACCATACAAACATCAACAATCCCAAATCCCAAAGATGACGCGCAAGACCCCATCCGAGCTCCTAGCCGCCAACCCCCTAGACCTGACCCCCTACGAATCTCTCTACAAGCATTTCCACGCACATCCCGAACTCTCCAAAAGAGAGAAAGCAACCGCCGAAAGAATAGCAGCTTATCTCGCGCAATGGGATGCCTTTGAGATCCACACCCGGATCGGGGGTCACGGAGTCGCCGGGGTCCTGCGCAACGGGCCGGGAAAGACCGTCCTTCTGCGGGCGGACATGGACGCTCTCCCCGTGCAAGAAATCACGGGCTTACCCTACGCCAGTGCGGTCACGATGCAGGATGCCAGCGGCGCGGAGAAGCCGGCCATGCACGCCTGCGGCCACGACATGCACATCACGTGTCTGCTGGCGGCGGCTGAACGGCTGGTGCGGATGCGATCCGACTGGGGTGGAACACTGATTGTGGTGTTCCAGCCTGACGAGGAGCGCGGCGAGGGCGCCCGCGCAATGGTGGATGACGGCCTGTACGACAAGATCCCCGTGCCGGATTATGTCTTCGGCCAGCATGTGATGCGCATGCGCGCGGGGAGCGTGGGCTCGCGTCCGGGGACCATCATGGCTGCGGCGGATAGCTTGAAGATCACGCTGTTCGGGCGTGGCGGTCACGGGTCCCTGCCGCATCAGACGGTGGATCCGGTGCTGCTGGCGGCGAATGTGGTGGTGCGGCTGCAGGGGATCGTGAGCCGCGAGATTGACCCCAGTGATCTGGCGGTCGTGACCGTCGGGAGCCTGCAGGCCGGCCAGGCGGAGAACGTCATCCCGGACACCGCCGAGCTGGGCGTGGATTTCCGCTCGGTGAGCGTCGAGACCCGCAATAAGATCCTCGCCGCCATCAAGCGTATCGTCGAGGCCGAGTGCATGGCCAGTGGCTCGCCGCGGCCACCGGTCTTCACGCCCACTCGAAACTTCCCTCCCACCATCAACGACAAGCAAGTCACGGCTGAACTGGCGTCTTGCTTCGCGGAGCATTTTGCAGACGGGTTTGACGCCGACACCCCTCGGACTAATGTCAGCGAAGACTTCTCGATCCTTGGCACTAGCCAGGGCCGGCCCTGCTCGTTTTGGTTCTTTGGTGGCATCGATCCGGCAGTGTGGGATGAGGCAGAAAGCAAAGATCGCCTCCACGAGATTGCTGGCAACCATTCCGCCTCATTTGCCCCGGCGATCCAGCCAACGATGAAGACGGGAATGGACGCGCTTTGTGTCGCGGCGTTGACGTATCTGAGGAAGTAGACCTTGGAAACGTCAGAGTGATGCATATAAAACGCTTGATGCAATTTCCCCCTTGATCTTGAGCCCTGCTGCATAGAGATGGATGGAAGGATTACGGTGTTCACTCCGGTAACGATTCCTTTGTGTTCGCTGTTTGCGGAGATCTCATTCCTTTTCTCGGCGATGTCGACCATGAATGAGGCGGGGTAGCAAATGTGGAATCGATCTGAGACGGCATAGTGTTGGAGCACTTAAGACAAGGATGTAGTGGATGAAGAGATAAAGAGAGGGAGAGGGGGAGGGTAAAAGGCAGTGGACTTATCCATCCTCTAGAACCCAGCACGACTTGCGCTACACCGGGAAAGTGTACCATGGCAGAAACCTGCGCCGCAGACAATTTGCATACTCAAATATCAGAATTTAGAGGCTGCATTTACTTTGAGGTTGCATACGATCTATTGCAGATCTCCAATTGCCTGCTCGATTGCAGGTCTCAAACCTCCCCAGGTCACTTTGTCAACTACGCCAACAAATCCAGTCGTTCACCGAATTAATGCGCAGAAGATGAGGCAAAACGAGGTTAATCGCAAGAAAAATGCATTTTCAATAGAGCCCACACTCAATTCATGCCCATTCCAACAACACGCTGTCATAAATCCATCCGCGAAACAGTGTCGACTTGGTGATAGTGAACTCCACGGAGTTAGCCCCATTGCGAAGCGCATCTGCCGAGACTGGAAACTCGAGCAGATGCCATTCACCCGCCAACGTGCCACACCGATAACTACTAGGGTCGCTGGCGAGAACACTCGAGCTGATCGTTCCGACTGAAACCCCATTCACGGAGACCGTAGCTGAACTCCCTGCGCTAAACCCGGCCAGCGCAACTGACAGGACTGCTGACCGGCCCTGGGACGTCGAGTTGCGGGGAAGATCGAATTCCACCGTCCACGTACCCAGCGATGACTGCTCAAAGCACCAGTCCTTACTCTGGCTCGTCCCCACGGTAAAGGTCAGGTTGGCCGGGCAGTTGAGTCCCCTCGCGAATTGGTGGGGAGCACCGCTATAGGAAAAGCCGGTGGCCTTGCGATCGACTTCCCCAATCTGCCAGATGACCTCGCGGCCTTGCGGAGCCCAAGTCACGTCCCCTAACCATAGGGCTTCACCATTGTGGACGGGAATGTTGTTTTTCTCAAGGACAGTGGTCACTCCGCCTGCCGCGTCGCCTCCAGCAGCGAAAACACGAAGGCCCCATGTTCCCTCACGGACATTCTCCAAGGTAAAGTACCCGTTCTCATCGGCGTAGGTCCGGTAGTAGTACCAGGCTCCCTGGTCCAACGTGCTAGTATTGGACTGGTTGTCCCCTAAGAAAACTGCCGCCCCGCTCGCAGCCTGGCCGTCGGAGAGCACGATGCGTCCTCGAAGACTGCCGCGGGAATGATATCCATGGCTATCCTGCATCCAGTCGTACGGCCAAGCCGCAATCTCCTCCTTGGCGCGAGTCGCCGCGTCTTGGATGGAGCCATCATTCTGTCACGATTTTCAGATATGTTAGAGTCGCTGAACACGGCGAGCATTGTGGGCGAAGCTTACCAAGTACCACAACCATGGGCCCCAGGTCTTACCTTCCGGGAACACGTCGCTGCTGACGGCCTGATAATGCGTGCCATGGATCATGTTCAGCTGAACCGCATCCCCGGTCTGACTCTCCCGGTGCACCAACAACTCCTGCTTCAGATGGTTGCCGTTCAGGTAGTCTTTACCCCCATGAATATACCACGAGCCCACTTGCTCGCCACTCGCCTCTTGGCCACCCAGCGGCCCGTAGAGTCCCCAGAGAGCGGACTGCCCTTCAATTACCGGCAAGAAGGTTGCGAAATCATATTTTGTGATGTATGTGCCGTCAGCTTGCTGCCAGGTCTCATCTTGGATCTTGACGGCATTCACAATGTCCGACAAGGGTGGCAGTGCCTCATTCCTTTCGTCCGTCCACCCGTGGGTAAAGCTATCGTTTGCAAGCCGCCAGAGAGTACGAAATTCACCAAGAGTAGGTAAGGCTTTGTTCACGAAGTACTGATATGCGCCCGTCAACGTGGGCGTCAAGACCCAATGAAATTCCCCCTCTGTCGCTGTAAAAACGACATCGGTGTAGTCGCCAGTGACTTTGTGTATCCGAGCATTGGTAAGATTCAAGTCGCTTTGGGCGCCATCTGAACAAAAGATTAGAGGTAAACTAAGAGATACAATGAGAGGGAGGAGATAAGGAAGAGGGTCGTACTGTAGGACACATAGTGACCCCATGCGTCACCCACTAGGTCAACATTTTTGTAGTAGAGCTTGGTGCCATACTGACGACCAATGGTGGCATTCCAGAAGTCATTTCCAAGGATAGCCGTTTCATCGTCCACATTGATCAGAAATGGTGGATTTGGCTTTGACCGGGCCACCGGCGAGGCGGACGACAGTAAACCGAAAGCCAACCCAGTCACGATAGATGCCAACATAATGCAGTCTTGCTGTCTGAGTGGGAATCATTGGACTGAATACGGTACCACTGTATCTTTATGGTCGAACTACCCCCTCTTCCCGCCGCCCGCCAAGTAAGTGAAGGGGCATTGTGTACAGACTGAGCCGGGTATGAATTGCCCCGAGATCTCGTGGGGAGGAGCACATGGTGCTGGACCAAGAGTGGAGCAGTCTGGTTCCCTGCAGGTCCTCCGGCGGAGTGGCCAGTGTAGTTCAGTGATTGCGGGTATCCCCCTGGGTTTCCCCGCCTTCCAAGACATGCAGGTGCATGAACCTGCTTCCCCAGTCTTCTTGGCACGGGTCCTCCGCGAGTGATGCATGACTGTTCTTCCACCACACAGATCACCTGCTTTTGTCGATTCGGGCTAATCCAAGGCGACCTTGGTGAGCTGGTAATGAGGTGAATTGTAAGACATAGTATAGAAGATCGGTAATTCGCGTGAACTCTGAGTTGTTTATAACGTTCTTGAGCTCATGTTCTGCGAAGCTCAAATTGCTGTCAGCGCAAATGTAAAAGACAGCCTTACAGCATTGCAGCAAGACCTCTTGACCTTGGTATTCTCCTCGTGAGCCCAAGACCGCAGGTCTTAGATCTCATCACTTTCTTTTGGAACCGGAGCCTATGCCTCGAATTCAGATCCGACAGAATCGTCTTCGTTTGGCAGGTGCATAGCGCGACGACTCGATGCAATCTCAGCGATGGAAGACAGAAGTGCATGCTCCTACGAATCATTTTTATGAAACGTCGGCAATGTCCCGGGCTTAATTCTTTTGAGCCTTGCACCGGGAGTTTCAGTATGAAGAATGGATAATCCGAGCGAACTAAGCGGCGAAGAGACGAAGAGCTCAACTTGATTTGCTACTTGACTCGAGAGGCGATTGCGATGACATCCTAAACTATCATATTGTCAGAAACTGGTCCATCACACGGACATCCTCGGCCACTAATACTCACATGTCCTCAAATCGTCGAAGCTAGACACCAGAGACTGCATGCGTCTACATCGTCCTTTCGGCGCCTCTGAACAACGGTTCCCACATCCCACAGGTCTGCAAGCCACAAGCAGGCCCTGATCGACGGGTTTCATGCTTGTGTGCAGCCTGCCGTCTCGATTCCGCTATCATGCTTGCTCGCAAGAAATCATGGGGCTCTTTCCTAGACGATTTCTTCGTCGCTCTGCTAAGAGTTGATGGATGTGTGTTCAACGATGAATGTGCAAGAGAGTGTAAGCGCCGAGCTTCTGTTTCTCCCGCAGATGGTTGAGGTCTAGAACGGGACCGGTGCTAGCAGATCATGATAACACGACCGACGAAGCTGGAGAGAAGTAGGCAGTCTTCTCGGTGAGTTGGGCAATGAGGAACTCGCCCATTTTTGCATGCGATAATCATAATGGAACAACACTAGTTGAGGGCTGCTGGATAGTTGCACCGAGTACGAAAGGGAGTAGAGAGGCAACATGCCAGGGAACAAGAACAACGCGCTGGCAAGCGAAAGCGCGTTGTCCAACGATCGGTCTCGGCCATAACCCTCCCACAGGAGAAGTGCCATCATATGTACGAAGTCTGTGCAGATATAGAGACAACTTACAATGATTATAGAGAGAAAAACAAAAAAAAGTGCCGTTCTCATCCCCAGGGCGGGGTATATTAACCTATTCCGATTTCCGGACAACCACCGTCGCCCTCCTCAGGATTCGAACGCAGGACCTTCCGTATACTGCGCGCAACAAGTTGCCCACTACGCTATCGGCCCCGCAGGCTACTAGGAGATACCGAGTTTAAAATATAAGCCAACCAACCTTTCACCTGGACAAGTACCTTTTGTGCGAGCAAATGCCGAAATACCTGGGGTCAGATGGCAGCCCTACGTGACGATGGGGATTTTGACGCTTAACTGAGATCAAGCATTCTGCTTGGTTGAGTAGTTGAATCTAACTATTTTGCTATACGATATTTTCCTCAGTTAAAGGCAGAGAATATCTGGTCCTAGTTGGTCAGCATCATTTTGCACAACTGTACATGGCTATGTGACCATCAAAGTACCTACTTCTCCGCAAGTGCCACTTTCGGAAACTTCCATCCCTGATATACTTCACGTGTTGACCCTCCAGTGCTCTACAGCGAGCTCGCCAAGAACCCAACTCAGGAAGTAGATAAGAGATCAGGAAAAGATGAAGAAGAAGCGACAAGGTTATGTTCGTATGAAGACCGACGAATCGCTTGCAAGCAGTCTAGAATATCTATACAGCAATGAAATAAACACCGTCAAAAGCTCATACAGGATACACCAAGACATAGAACAACATCATAACCATCCCGCCTTCTGGGCCATAACAGGAGAGGCCCCAGACCCGACAATAAACCTCTTTTCCTCCATGCCACAGAACCAACAATCAATATGGTATCACAGATCGGGTGAGTCGGTTTCAGACCGACGTTGACACACGCAAAGTGCTGTCGCATCGAAGCCATTCTTACCAGCCGCCAGGACCGCCGGGGCCACCTGCCCCTCCAGGGCCTCCAGGACCTCCAGGACCACCGCCGGGGCCGCCGGGGCCGCCAAAGCCACCAGGGGGGCCATCGGGACCGCAGCAGTCCCCACAGCAGCAGAAGCAGTCGAGGCAGCAGCAACAACTATTTAGCATGTTAGCAAAGTTTAGGGTATACGGTGATCATTGGTAACTTACTCATCACCAGGCCCAGGGGGAGGACCGCCACCACGCAGCTGCATGTTCATCTGGTTATCGGGCGTCTATGTCACATGGCGTTAGCTGTACTCTAGTCGCTTGCGGAAGACTTGTGATCACACGTACGGGCTGCTCAGCAACAACAGCGTTGGTGGAAGGAGACTCGGGGCTCTGAGGTTGGACCATGGTCAATGTGGTCGGGTCCCAGGTAGTCTGGGGCGCTTCCTCCTTCTTGGAGGAGCTGAACCAGCTGAACAGACTGTTGCCGAACATTGTGTCAAGAACTTGTTCCGGTGTGGGTATGTATGCGCGATGTTGTGAGTTAGGACGAAGAGGGACAATCGCAGCAAAGGGAAAGGAAACGGGCTTCAATTTAAAGGGGACTATCAGAAAGTTGTAGAGGAAATCAATGGATCCTTGCTATAAGGTTGTCCACTCAGCGAGCTGTCTGACATCTACTATTTACGGCGCGCCACACCGCGGATGGGGCGAGCCATACTTCAATTAGCTTGATTGTCCAGATTGGTGCGTTGTCTTCGCAGCTTTCATCTCTGTTTCTCGGCCCAGAATTGGGTGAGGGTCGTCGTTGTGGATCCATCCGATCGAGGCGTACGTATACCCCGTTAGGCAGACAATTTGTCCACCGCATGGATGATTGTGGCTGTCGCCAACGTTTCATGACGTATCAGGCTGAAGAACCCACGAATGTAGTTCAAGATGATACCGTTTTGGCTGCATGGTGACCTATTGCGATAGCACCGTGTTGATGCATGGAAGGGGGGGTTGTTGGCGGTATAGCTTGTCCCGAAAAAGCTTCGCATGAGGGATGTCTCGGCAAATTTGCCAAGATATATAGTGGAAATGCTCATTTTTCTGCAGCCTACTAGACCAGTAGATCGACCGGATGACTTTCGAAAGGAGTCTGGCTAAGCCAATGGTCGTCCCTTTCCAGAATGTCGAGCCGTATAATGTGGAAAGCTTGGGGAAATAGATTTATGCGGACAATGGGGGCAACGGGGATGGTATGCATGCTCTTAGAGGTACCCTTGGAGCAGTCGCCCGATGTTTCATCGTAACCAATGTCTATCCATGAGCGCAAAATCGATGTCTTGATAGGAGTCTAGATTTTATGGCGCAGCACGGCAACCAAGTACGACCCCAATGGCCGACGCGTACGGTGTACTGTAGTCTACTATGTAAGTATCAGTCTCAGCCACAGTGCGATGTCGGGGGCCTCGGGGCGAGCCGGTGACTAAGCGGCATATCGAAAGACCGTCTGATCGTCCCAACGAGGTGGGCAACACTAGCTAGCCAGGGACATGTCAGTCTTCCTTGGACCCTGTGATCCATGATTCTCTGCACGGTGGCTTGCGTGGTCGCAAAATCTGTGTTGAGGTGGCTTTCGATCAGCCTTGTGCAGTCGTGGGGCGACAATGGATTTTCTGGGACAACATCCTACCCAAATCATTGATATGTCCACAATACTTAAACCGCGCCCATCGAAAATTGCAAGTAACGAAGTCATGCTCATGATGCTGTTCTTTGTAAGTCTATGGCCATCGAAGCTGACCTAGGCTTGTTCGACTGAATGGTTAAGTGAGGTAAGTGGCCATCAAAGTAGCATCGGTGATAGGATAGACGGTATATGAGTCCAGTTGTGTTGCATAGGAAAGACAGGCCTAGCTTGCAAAGCAACAAACAGCAAAGGTTAGACTATAATATCGAAGAGAACAGATTCTGCTCCATGCTACAAGAACAGGACATTAATGGCAGGGCTTTGTAAAGCTTTAGTGGGTCGGAGAAGGGTCCCAGTATCAGGGTGTCTGTTCTGGATGCACACACCGAATTCGCAGGGAGCTGGTATGTAGCATCCGTGCAATAGCGCTTGTTGGTACTAGGTCTTAGCTCATAGTTTGCCAGAGAGCTTTCGATAGATCCGTTACGGTCTAATGCCGAATGGTTGGGTTTATGGTATGTGTTGACTTGAGTACTAATTGGGTAAAGGAGCTCAAGGAAGGCGAGTCCGTCTTCACAATATATAGAGCGAGGGATAACTTCAGGCAGATAGTTGTTCCTCCGTATACAGTTCCAATACACAGGTGAGCTAACCCTTCTTCACCTCAACCATTGAGATGGTCGGTCGCATCGAACTGAATGGCTGATGGTTAGGTGTCGCCGAATCCACGATTTCGATTTTCAGTAACGACAACAGCCCTGCGAAATTCTTTCTAAGGCCACTAGGTAGGGAGAGAAGCAGTTTCTGGAGACTATCCCCGTGTTGAAATCAGGGACCATATTCCAGTTCATCAGTGCTAGCATATAGAGCCTTAAGTACTATATGACCGTTGCCAGTGACGTGAAGTTCAAAATTGCATTCAGTAAATACCATCAGTGCCAATTGTTTCTGAAGTGATGCAACAAGTGTAAGGCGGAGTATAAACCAGGCATAAAAGGTGATGGATCACGTGGTGCGGGAGTGGAGGCTCTTCCCTGAACTTCCCGAACCTCAAATCTCAGATTCTGGTCCTGCAATTGCGCGACGATCTAACGTCTTCGGCTCTTGAACCACCCGCCATTGGACCCCCTTTGTCCTCCATCTAGCGACTTTGATCAGTCACTCTCTCCCTCTCTCGTCTTTTCTTCTTTCCAAGGGTTTTCAAGATGTCCGCCCCGGCGTCCCGTGCCGTCCTCCGGCAATCGCAGTTCCTGGCTCGCAGGACCGCAGTCAGACACGCCTCTTCCACCTCGGAAGCCGCTTCCAAGGCTGGCGAGGCTGCTTCTTCCACTGCCTCCAAGGCCTCTGAGGGCCTCTCTCGTGTTCAATCCTCGGCTGGTCCCGCCATCACCAACGCTGCTCAGGGTCTCGGTAACGCCCTGAAGAAGGTTGGTGGAAGAACCGGAAAGGTCATCTCTTTCGTCGAGAGTAAGCGAGCTCCCCTGACCTCACGCCGTGATATGCTATATATCCTTCTTCTTTCTCCCTGGCTGCTGTGGCACGACAGTCAGTGCGAGGTAGTCTGGTTCGCCATAACCGGATGTGAAGAGGATGCCTCCGGATATCACACATACACCATGTCCCATCTGTCCATTGCTAATCAATTCCCTCTGCAATATAGGCATGATCCCCCCCACCGTCTACTACAGCAAAGTCGGTCTCGAGCTCGCCAAGCTGGTTTTCCGTGGACAGAACATGACCCCTCCGTAAGCGCTCTCCCAGAGGAGAAGCACCACAGGCATTGTTGCTGATACCGATATCTAGTAATGTCGCCACTTTCCAGGCCTACCTCGAGCCCTTGATCCGCAACCCTACGAACTCTGCCTTCGCCCCCTCGAACATCATTGCCCGGATCCGCAACGCCAACAAGAAGGAGCTCGCCTTCGCCGGTGTCACCGCCGCGGAGGTGATCGGTTTCTTCACCGTCGGTGAGATGATCGGTCGGATGAACATCATCGGCTACCGGGGAGAGCCTGAGCACGCCGGACACCATTAGATAAATACCACGCAGTTGTGCCTTAGCCTGTCTTCCTTCCCTTTTACACAAACAATCCCCCCCGTTTCCTTTGTGCGCTGTACTATTGTATGATAGACGATGGAATTCAACTGTTGTCTGAGGTGACTGGTGTATTTGTTTCTTTCTTTGTCTCTCTCAGTGGAACATGTTTGCTTTTGTTTCCAAAAAGTGTTTGGGTATCAAAAGCCTTGCTGGAAGTGTGTGCGTCCGGTTAGAAGATAGACTTGTTCCACCTGCGCTCGAATGTTTTTAGATATCTTTTCGAATTCTATGTGTCTTGTTGAAAGTGAAAGTCCTGTTGATCAGCAAAGCGCGGCTGTCCTCGTAGGAAGGTTCGGGCTGCAATGAGGACTCCGAGCACAGAAGGGATATCAAGGAGATAAGAGCGATGGGCCCACAAAGATAACCGCCATACGATAGATGTACTGTGTCTATGAGAGCTATTTAGCCTCACCAACGTATCTCATTCCATCATCTTGAATTGCCCTGTATCCCCCTGTACATCAAGTCCACTAAGCACAGTCCTGGAGAACTGACAAACTGGACAAACTAACAATCGATTGTGAAGTTCCATCTGTGTTGGACAAACCGAAAGCGAACCTTGAAGCCTCAGGAAGAGAGGCCAGGCCCCTCTCTGATTGGCCCGTGCGGGAAGAATTGGAACATCGAACTTTTTTTTCCGGGACAACCATAAAAAAATGGAAAGGCGGCGGAGGAACTTGACCAACTTCAACGGTCGTTTCCCAAAATAACAACAGAGCAAACAAAAGGAGCGCGCATGTCCTTGAGTCCTTATTGAATAACGTCAAGTCGCATGGTCTTGTAAAATTGCGACCCCCCCCCGCCCCAAAAAATGGATGCCTTCAAGCTCTTGACAAGAGCCACCAAATTGAAGACCGGTACCGCTAGTAGTACCCTCTCTTCATCAACTTTGCCATCTAAAGGCAAGGCGCAGACCCCCCAGCTCTTCCACGCCTCGGAGGCCGAGGAACTGCTGCGGAAGAATGGTGGCGTCAGCGCCAACAAAAAGCGCAAGAGAACCCATGCGCCGGCCGAAGCGTCGGATTCGGAGAATGATGATGACGACTTGCCGGGGTTAGACTTCTTCGGCGCGGGCAAAAGCTCTGCCTCGACGGCTAAGAAGGAGCGGGCTGCGGCGGCGAAGGAGCAGGAGGAGGTGGAGTCGGAAGAGGAAGAGGGCGAGTCGATGGGTGAAGTACAGCGGCGCACGATCTTGAACACCCACAAGATCAAGGTCACGGATATGCGTGACCTGGAGGAGGTGCAGCAAGTGGCGGTGGCAGCGCCGCCGGCGGAGGGTGACGAGTCCAACAAGAAGAAAAAGAAGAAGAGAAAGCAAGAAAAAGAGAGTTCATCGTCGGCTCAACCGCTCACGAAGAAGGAGCTGAAGAAGGCACGCCAGTTGTTCCCGCAGCCTTTGGTCTCGTTCAAGGAGCTGCGCACCAGGTACAACATCTCGCGCCGGCTGGCGGAGAACATCGCCGAGCAAGGGTTCACGGTCCCCACGGAGGTTCAGTTGGGGAGCTTGCCTCTGTTGCTGGGGGATCAGTCGGTTGCCCAGAAGGCGGGTACGACGGGCACTGTCGAGCCTGATCTTCTGGTGGTGGCGCCGACGGGCAGTGGTAAGACACTGTCTTTCATGATCCCCGTCGTTAACAAGATTGTCCGACACCATCACCAGCAACAGGAGGAGCGTGGTATCTTCGCTGTTGTTGTTGCTCCGACGAAGGAGCTTGCCAGTCAGATCGTCAATGAAGGACGGAAACTGGCGCTCGGAACTGGTGTCAAGATTACTCTGATGAAGAAGGGCATGCGCGTTGTCGAACGCGACGATGAGGGTGACGATGCTAAGGGTGTTCTGGATGAGCAGAGTGAGGAGGAATCTTCTGGATCCGAGGACGAGGAGCAAGAGACG